TACATGTTTGGAGAAAGGGCTCGGTTTTGGGCTGCCTGTGGCTTTCCCCAGCTTGAAATGCAGGCTATAAAAAATTTTTATTTAATGTGGAAAGTCTTGTATCTTGTTTTGAGAGTTTGGCTTAACTCTTCATGAGGCATCTCCCCTGTTCATATATTTGTTGGAATAATTTCATGCTTATGTTTAGACATGCAGGTCATTCCTTGGGCTTAAAATGGCTAGAGCTTTAATGTTATATGGCTCGATTATATCAATGTTTGGGCTTCTTTTAATCTTGTTGAGCTCTGACTTTGGCTTTTGAGTTTTCGTTGAGCTCGATTTTGGCTTCTTGTTTCTCGTCGAACTCGGATTTGGTTTCTGGTTCTTGTTGAACTCGGTTTGGCTCTAGATGGGGAGCACTGTTAATTTTGTTTGGCCTTGCTGGGCTAGGTTTGGCTCTAGTGTGGGCTGTATTTGCTTGCTCTAGCTCTGCTGACTTGGTTTGATTCTAGTTGTTGGTCTTGATTTGCTCTGTTTGGCCTTTGCTGGCCTTGGATTGGCTCTAAGGTGGGGGTTGTGTTTGCTTGTTCTAGCCTTGTTGAGCTCGATTTTGGCTTTGTTTTTTGTTGGGCTCGGTTTGGCTTTGATTGAGGGTTGTGTTTCTTTGTTCAGCCTTTACCCGAGGAATGGTTGGGAGGTGGCTGGCTTTAGTTCCTACTCCTTACCCGTGAGGTCTATTGCAGGTCTTTGGGTGTGATTTGGTTTTCCCTGCTAGGCTTGAATTGCCTTGAGAGTTGTGGATGAATCAAGTTTGCCATCCAAAAAAAGAAAATCGTATTTATTTCAGTTATCCATTCATTTAGTCAGGGAGGCATAGTTGACTTTGGTGGTCCTTTTGTTGGCTTTGGCCGTGAGGCCCCCCTGCAGCTGCTCTTTGCTGCCTTAAGCCGTGAGCTTTAACAGTTCTTTCCTGGGTCCTTTGTTGTCTTAACCGTAAGCCTTACTTATTGTCTCTTGGACTGCCTTTGGTTGTGGGTCTTGGCAGTTGTCCCTTGCTTTAACCGTGAACCTCTTTTGGCCCCGTTCCTTGCCTTGACCGAGAGCTTTGTGGGTTGTTTCCTCCTCTCATTGACCCTGACCGTGAGTGTTTATCTGGTTTTATGGGAAGATTTCGCGCTTATTTAATGTATGAGGTTATCTATTAATCTGAAAGTTGGAGGAATTT